CTTTTATTTTACTACTTTTACAAATGATGTTTTTTTGTGTATATCCCCAAATTTATATTTTTATTTTCATTGATATTACAGTCTAAATACGAGTACAAAGCAATTTGTATCACAAATGCATCTGTTGCAGCGATATTTAACATTATAAACGTTAAATATCTAGCGCTATAATTTGCAATATATGTAATTTATAGCGCCTTTCTAATTTACTTTTCAATTTTTATTACGCAATTTCCAGTGCTATCAATATTTTACAAAATAAAAGTATTTTTTCGATAAAAACTCAAAGCATTTCTATATTAAAAGAAGCGAGAGAGAAAACACTAAAGCGAACGAGAGAGACAGCTACTGTTTGACGATGAGATCATCATTGCCCCCCTCTTGCCGCTCGCCCCGCTCAGCATGTGCCCCTTTTGCCGCTCGTCCCTCTTTGCGCGTGAGGTAACCGTCTCTCTATACATCTTGGCTGTGAACACGTGACCAAAACTGTTGGTTAGATAGAGAGATCCGGGTCCGAACAGCTATCTCCATCTGACCGGTCGAGAACAAAAGCGTGCTTGTTCCAGTATGGTATATATTTCAATGGTGTTAAAAGAGTTGACATAAAATTACATTTGTTTTGTTACCGGTGTCAGTGAGTTTCCAGAGTTGGCGTAAAAATTTCTGAAAGAAGACTTCTAAGAAAGAAGAAATTTGACAACAATAAATAAACGAAAAGTAGCAAGTAAGTATTTCTTTCTTTCTTCTAACAATATAAAACAATTCAGTCAGCAAAGTTTGTTCTCGAACAGATTTTGCTAAACGTCTGCTACTAATTTTTGTAAATGGAAAAATTGCAAATTGTACACAAAATTTGTTATATTAGAAGAAAGTAGCAGAATGTCATCAGAAATGTTACAAAACCTGCTGACATAATTTGGGATCGTTCCGATTGCGCACACTACCGACCAGATATTTCCTAATCGATATTTCCTAATCGGACATAGTGCTAATCGAACACAGTAGAAAACGGACACATGAGGTCTGTTTTTTTTAGTTGAACTGACTGCACTAGATCAGTGTTTATCTTTCTTTTTGCAATGTGGAGGGAAAAAGATAAACTCTGAACTAGTGCACTTATTTCAGCTAAAACGAACGCACCTATGGTGGTTGCAAAGGGATACCTGTACTGTAAGGCCGGCGTCACATAGAACCCGTAATCCGTAATCCGCACCGGAAGTCCGCAAAAGTTACTAGAGATTGCGTCCGTAACGTTACGGGCGGTATTTATAGTCCGTTCTTATATTCAAAATCGTCTTAAGCACGGACTTATATTTGCTCTCTTCGTCACACATAGATTGTGTCTGACGAAGAGAGCAAATATAAGTTTGTACTTAAGACGATCTTGAATATAAGAACGGACTATGAATACCGGCCTACGTGTGTTTTTTCTCCTTGTGTCCCATGAAGCCGTAAATACACACGTAACGGTATTACTATTTTTTATTTAACAGATTATAATTGTTTATTTGTATTTTATTCATAAGAAAACTACAGAATATATTATAATTTTAACAAAAATTTTAATTAAATCGTCAAATTTAGTTAAATAAATAAAATTAAAAAAGCATTACTAGTAATAACTAGTAACTTTTAGTAACTTTTACGGAAATTTCATGGAATTACGGCTCCATGGGACACAAGGAGATAAAACACACGTAACGTTACGGACGCAATCCCTAGTAACTTTTGCGGATTTTCGGTGCGGATTATAGGCGGGAGCACAGACTTTTGCATAAAGCATAACGCATAAGCATAAGGAAAT